TTGAACACTTAAGTCAGAAATCTACTGAGTTAACTGTTATGAAGGTATAAAGTCTTTATTTAGTTTTTATTTTCTTCATTTTTTGTTTTATCATGGATGTTTTATTCCAAACATTTGTTGAAGAGAGTAAATTTGTTTAATTTCATTGCCTTTTATCCTTTGTCAAAGATCAGTGAAATATATTTACTAGACGTGGTCAAAAAGTAGGGTGAATGATAAATTTTTTCAAGGTATTACAGTAAAAGATATTTTGCCATTAATACTCCTCATACTATTTCTTCTCACATCAAAAACACTTATCGTATCATTTGTGTCACTTTCACAAACAGTTTTTGAAATCATTTTGTGTCATTTGCACTGTAGTAGCTGCCTGCATGTTCTGAATCCATTCAAAACATTTGACTTTCATGATCACTTTTTTTTTTTTTTTAGGAAGAATCAGAAGTAGCACAACAGCAAATGTTGTGAATAAGTGGATGAGAACATGCTGTTCTGTGTTACTTGACAGAAATTCCCATAAATGATTGATTAGTGTGGTGAGATAAAAACATACTTGAATGTTCAAGTAAAAGAATTTACTACAGTAAAGATACATTGTTATTGATCTCCTTCAAAACTTAAAATACCCTCCACCCCAGCTTTCAAAACAGGTACCTCATCATTCTTGGAACTATGTATTTTACTGTAATAAATTTTTAATTTTAAAAGTCATATGTATCAATCATTCCTTATATGTGGGTCATTTCTTGTGTCTCTCTTGTGCTCCCTTGGCTTATTTGTTTATTATTACACCAATGCATACAGTCTTGTACAATAAAGTAAGTCTTGAAGTATCAACGGTCCCTCAAACTGTTTTATCTTTATAATGGATCGGCTATTATCGGTCATTTGTCTCTCCATAATCTTCTTATTAATACCTATAAAATAACTTGCTGTGATTTTAAAAGGCATTGCATTGAATCTATAGATCAAGTTGAGAAGAACTGACATTTTCACAATATTGAATCTTTCCATCTATAAGAATGAATATCAGGGGGTGAAGGGAGGGCAGTGACAAGGGGAAAAATAAGAACCAAGACCTGTCGTGTGAAGGTACAGGATCTCAGTAATGAATGTAACTGTATTGTATACCTAGATTGTATCAATAAACTCAATAAAAAGAAAAAAAATGGATATCTCTCTATCTTTTCTTTGATTTTTGTTGATCAAATTATCAATTAAATAATCATACATTTTCTCATTTAGATCTTATATATACTTTCTCAGATTTATACCAAAGTATTTTATTTTGGGGGTACTAATGTAAATGACACTTAATTTTTAATTTTAAATTCTATTTGTTCATTGGTGGTATGAAGGAAAGCAATTTAATTCTATATTAATTTATATATTATCCTTATATTATACATTAATTTTTATATAATCTACTGTGCTGCAACCTTTTCATTATTGTTAATTCAGGAACCAAAGAAACAAAAAAAATTATTTTTCCCTTTACAATCAGTGTGTCTTTATTTCTTTCTCTTGTTTTATTTCATTGCTACAACTTCTAGCATGATTTAAAAAGGAATGGTGGGGGATATCCTTGCTTTGTTTCTAATTTAATGAGAAAGCTTCTGGTTTCTGACCATCAACCATGATGTAGGATTTTGTAGATGTTATTTACCAAGTTGAAGAGAGATCTATTCCTCCTTTTTGAGAGTTTTTATTATGAATGAATATTGAATTTTGTCAAATGCTTTTGATATGATCATGCAATTTTTCTTCCTTAGCTTGTGGATATGGTGGTTTACTTTAATCAATTTCAAATGCTGTATCAGCCATGGATATCAAGGTATATAATTGGGTCATGGTGTATAACTCTTCATTATACAATGTTGGACATTATGTTCATGAGAGATATTAATTTGTTGTTTTATTTTCTTCTAATGTCTTTTTTGTCTTATATCTGGTTTGGGTGTTGGGCTAATGTTGGCCTCATAGAATGAGTTAGGGTGTATTTCCTCAATCTCAATATGCTGAAAGAGACTGGTATAATTTATTCCTTAAATGTTTTTAAAATTTAACAATGGGTTCATGACCCTAGTGTTTTCTGTTTATTAAACCTATTAATCAATAAGTTTTTGATCCAACACATTTCATAAATAGAGGACTGTTCCAATTATCTGTTTCTTCATACATGAGGCATTAGTAGTTTGTGTCTTCAAAGAATTGGTCCATTTCATCTAGGTTATCAAATTTGTGGGTATAACATAGTTCACAGTATTCCTTTATTATCCATTTAGTACCCATGAAATGTTTCATTTCCAAAACTAGTAATTTTGTTCTCTTCCTCTCTCCTCTTGACCCCTACTTAGCCTGGATATATTTTCAATATTATTATTTGGGGGGGGTTGAGACAAAGTCTCGCTATATAGTTGAGACTGACCTGGAACTCACTATGTAGTCCAGGCTGGTCTCGAACTCACAGGGATCTTCCTGCCTCAGCCTCCTGAGTGCTGGGATTACAAGCATGCGCCACCACACCTGGCTATTTTCAATATTCTTTCAGATTTTTGAAAGAACTAGTTTTTGGTTCCACTAACTTTCTCTTTTGATTTCCTGTTTTCCATTTCATTGGTTTATATTCCAAAGTTTTGACAAATAAAGATTGTATACATTTAATGTGTATAACATGATGTTTGGATTCACCCTAATTTTTTAAAATTTATTATTTTCTGCTTACTTGAGATTTACTTTGTTCACTTTCTAATTTCTTAAGGTGCAAACACAGATAATTGGTTTTAGACTTTCTATTCTAACACAATCATTCAATCCTCTAAATTTCACCAAATTTGATATAGTAAATTTTCATTAAGTCTAAAATATTTTCTAATTTGAGATTCCTTCTCTGCCTTATGTGTTATTTAGAAGTGTAATGTTTAATTTCCATGTATTTTGAAACTCACATTTACCATTCTGTTGAACCTAGCTTAATTCTATTGTGTTTGAAAGTATGATTTCTTTTTTGTATTTAAGGTGTGTTTAAGGGCCCATAATATAATCTATCTTGGTAATGTTTCATGGGAGGTGGAGAAAAATGTGTTTTTTGTTGTTGGATGACATAGCATACATAGATGTCAATAATGGCCAGATAATTGATAGTATTTATTGAACTCAAATATATCCTAACTGATTTTCTTCCTTCTACATCTATTTCTGATAGAAGGGTTTTGAAGTTTCTAATGATAATAGGGGATTCATCCATTTCTCTTTGTTTTTTCATTTTGTGCCTCATGTATTTTGATACTGTTAGGCACACACATACTTAAGGATTGTTATGTATTCTTAGAGAACTAGCCACATTATCATTATATCCTTCTTTGTCTTTAATAATTTTCCTACTCTTTAAATTAAGGTAACTACTCATATTTGTTTTGATTAGAGCTAGCATCATATATCTTTTTCCATATATTGCTTTTAATGTATATATCTTTGCATTTAAATTAGTTTTCTTCTACACATCCTACAGATGGATCTTATTTTTTTTTTATTTGCTTTGACAGTCTGTTTGAAACTTGATGCATGTAACTTTTGTGGTTCAAAGTGATTATTGGTATTGTTGGGTTATCCATCATATTTGTTGCTATTTTCAATTTGTTTCTTAGTTAAATAACATAAGTAACATATGAAAATTGAAATACATAGGATAAGAACTCATTCTATAGTTGACTGTGATGCTTAGGCTCTGCCCCATTCTATGCCAGTTTTGTAAGGAGATTTCTTAAGTTTCTGTTTTTTCTAAGCTCCATCAGGATATAGAATTGTCTATGAATATTGTTAACTTCAGTTAGAAAAGAAGTAGTAAAGGACACATACTTAAAGTTAAATAATGAGGTTGGTTTTTTTAGTTCAAGTTATACATAAGAAATAATTTTGTAGAGGTTAGCATGAGCTTTCCAGATAAATATTTGGGTTTACTAAGCTAGTTTCCTAAGAAAAGGCAGTTAAGCTTTCTGAAATATATTACTCTTACTCTGGGTAAGGCTTAGAGCCAGGTTATTGAGGATAAGCTTTTAATTCTGCTATAATATTCTCTGGGAAGCCATACTGATCACAGTAGCCTGTTTCCAGTGGCCACATAAAGAAGAATAGAGAGAAATTCAGGAAACAGGGACAGTATTTCCAGGTGAAACAGTAGTGTGGTAGATTTTTTTAAACCTCTTTTAATGCTACAGAATTACTAACCTTGGAGATGAAGCTATTTTGTACACAGTAAAATGATACACTTAAAATCATAATAGATTTAGAAGAGGGAGGTGGCATCTTAATTCTCCTCTTTCCTATATAAGTGCAAAACAATGACCAGTTTTCATATTGTGTTCAGACAACTTTGACTCTTCCACCTCTTCCTTATGTTCAGTAAGCAAGAGTTTGTTTTGTCTACTTAGACAACAAAAAGTTCTCCCTTTTCACTGCTCCTTAACTTCCTACACGGTTCAGGAAACAGTGGTGGAGCTCTACCTACTGGAATTCAGATAAAAATTGAATTAGGTTCAATGGACTACTCCCCTGCTTTTATGGAATAGTCACATAGAAGGATATGGATAGTCTTAGGCCTTAAATTTGCTTATTCCTTCATATATATTTAAAGTTATTTTGCATTCAGTATTAATGTTTTCCTTCCAATATTTTTACTATCTTAATTTTACAGATAAGAACATGGTAGTTGAGAGAGCTAATGCTAATTCCTAATCACACTCTTACTAATTGTAAAGCCAGGAACTAAATAAGATTTCCTGTCTCCAATTCCCATACACTTTATTAATAAACAAATTAAAAGCAAAACAACCAGGAAATAAGTTAATCTGTGAAGAAGTTAGACAAGTCTTTATCCTGCTTGTATTACTATCCTATTGTCAAAGTCATTAAAATGCTTATTTAGAAAAAAATGGTGGTGACCAGTCTAAAAGGTCACATAATCACACAGTGCTTCGTGTCATTGTCCCCTAGCTACTTGCCCTGTAGCTGACGTCCTCCAACAGAGCAGATGCACCCACAGTACAATTTGCTTGCCACAAGGTTTCCTTGACACTGCAGCCATAAATGAACACATTCTTCTTTTGGGAGTGACCATGAAAATCACAGAAGACCTACAACAACAAACAAAGAAGAAAATAAATCCAGGTCAGATTTGCTGGTTTGTCAAACATTTGAAGTGTCAGTTTTCTTGAATGGGTACTGTTTATACAGAAGAACTAACTAGAAGAGGGTGGTGGGTGATTTTGACAAGAGTTGTATTAGTAGAGCTATCAGTGATGACTATAAATTTTAGGGATGTGAAGAATGAATGGAATATGAAGAGATATGAGGCAGTAATATCTTTTTTGAGAAGTTTACTCTGAGTGGGAGAATGATCAAAGCTTAAAGATAAAATATGAACAAGTACATTTAAATATATATATAAGAAGTTTTAATAATTTAAAAAGTCAGAAGGAAAATGCATTTTATAGCAATAGATTAAATATACAAAAGAGAACTTAATAAATCACTATAAGCTCTCTCTAGGTTTTAACATAGTGAAGAATGACCATTAAAACTCAATGGATTGCTCCCCAAAAGTTTTATTTCTCATTCATGCTCTAGATCACCTGTGACACTGCTTTCCATAACTTCATTCTATGGTCCAAATAAATAAGGAAAAGACTTCATGAACAAATCCTCAGTAGCACGGAAACTAGCAGATAGAATCAACAACTGGGATCTCATCTTACTAAAAAGCTTCTGTACTTCAAAAGAAACCATTAGCAGAACTAAGAGACAATCTACAATGTGGGAAAAAATTTTTACCAGCTGTACCTCAGACAAAGGACTATTATCAAGGATATATAAAGAACTCAAAACAATCAGTCCCCCCAAATATAAAGACCCGATCCAAAAATGGGCATCCGAAATGAACAGACATTTCTCATACAAAGAAGTGAAAGCAGCAAGAAAATATATGAAAAAATGTTCCACATCACTGGTCATTCGAGAGATGCAGATGAAAACAACACTGAGATTCCACCTCACCCCACAAAGAATGGCTGCTATCAAGAAATCACACAATAACAAATGTTGGCGGGGTTGTGGGGAGAAAGGAACCCTCCTCCATTGTTGGTGGGAGTGCAGACTAGTGCAACCACTATGGAAATCAATATGGAGATACCTCAAAGAGCTTGGACTGGAGGTTCCATTTGACCCAGCCATCCCTCTGCTGGGTATCTTTCCAAGAGAACTAAAAGAATCATATCACAGAGAAGTATGTGCACCCATGTTTATAGCGGCACAGTTTGTAATAGCTAAATCTTGGAAACAGCCCATTTGCCCATCCGTTGGAAACTGGATAAAGAAGATGTGGTTTTTCTATAAAATGGAATATTACTCAGCAATAAAGAACGAGAAAATAGATTCATTCATAGGATAATGGATACATATTGAAGATATACTCCTAAGTGAAATAAATAAGTCACACATGTGTAAATACCGAATAGTTTCCCTGGTGTGAATAATCTGCAACAATGCATAAGATTCTAATAAGATTACTGACATTTAGAAATGGGAAGAAAGGAGCTAAAGGTGTAGGGAAGGTGGGATGGGTAGGGGAAGAGTAAAAAGGGAAAAGAAAAAAATGTGAGAGAATGAAAAGATGAAAATAAAGTGTTTGTAGATGGGGAGGGGAGGAGGGGGTGAAGGGAGGGCAGATGTAAGGGGAAAAAATGAGAATCAAGATTTGTTATGTAGAGGTCCAAGATCCCAACAATGAATGTAACTGTACTGTATCCCTAAAATGTACCAATAAACTCAATTAAAGCTGAAATAAATAAATAAATAAATAAATAAACAAACAAACAAATAAATAAATAAATAAATAAGGAGCCCTAATTTGGAACATGCCATTTTTGTGACAAAGAAAAGAAAATGTCAAAAATTAGAATTATGCAAGGACTGTGAAAGCTTCTACAGAAGCAAAGTAGAGCTCAAGTCTGCCTATTATCCATTGGCCAAGGAAAGTCAAATGGCCAATCTTATCAGTGCCAAGGGGGAATGTATTCCTTCTATAGTTTGTTGTGTAAGTCACGCGACGAAGGACAATGATACAAAATCTTATTGCTGCAAAATGAGTTGTTAATATTTTTTTAATTTAAAAGATGACTACTAATTATTTTTTAGTTCATTAGTATGTATGTAGTACATAATGTTTACATTCCCTTTAGGAAATTGATGACTATATGTAATATATTTTAATTCCTTTTCTCATCCCCTTTCCCTTCCCTCCCTTCTACTTCTTCCCATCCCTTGATTTCTTTCCTCTTTCATCTTTGGACATGTTTCCAGTATAAGATGTTTACACTCCTTGTGCAGAGTTATACATGTATATAACACATCCCAACTCCTTATCTTCATCTCTTATCCCTTCCTTGTCCCCACTTCCCACTCATCTCTTGATCCCCTTCCCCTCTGAGAGAGATCTAGCTCCCTACTTCCTATTATCTATCTTCTCCTTTTTTTTTTCTCTTTATTTTTACTCTGGGTTTCTAAAACAAAAAATTTGATACTTAAACTTGAGTGCTTGATTTACTGCAGTTAACATTATGGTTTCAAGATATATCCATTTCCTACAAATGACTCATTTGACTACAAATTTTGGACATCCCTGTAGGTGAGGTCTTTTCCAATGGCCTATGCTCCATTACTATCAAGAGAGCAAAGATATTTCTTCATAGTTTGAATCTGAACTTAGCTATGTGACATCTTTTGGTCAGTGAGGATAGACAAATATGATGTGAGCTGAGGTTAATAAAGCATTTGCACTTCAATTGGTTGTTATGATGTCCCTGGGAACCCTTAGACAATTGCCATGAGAATAAGCATAGACCAGCCACTACCTTGGCTGATGTCAGGCACATCTTACACCACTCTGCTAGGCCAACATGGCACAGACCACAGGAATCATCCAGAATCAATAGGAATAGTACATAGTTTTATTTCAGGGTGGTTTGTTATCCAACAAAATCTAAGTGATAAAGTCACATATCTCTTTAGTCTAAATAGATATGCTTCCCTCCATTCCACATATAAAATACATCAACCTGCTCCCACAAAAGATATACCCGAGTCCTATACTGTCATAGTATCAGACGTTCTGGCCAAGATCTCATTATAGTTTCTGTACTCTGTATGTGTCTTCTCCAGATCCCTCAACAAAACAGGAAATCCTTCTGCCTTCAGCTTACCTACATCCAAGTTTGGAGAAAGGAAACAAAATCCCCAATAAAATTCAAGCTTAGAAGGCATGAATAGGAGGGACACTGAAGTCACTGGATGACAACAATATGAAGTGCTAAGAGAAAGACCCAAGAGGCTCCTATATCCTATGGGTAGGGATAGATGTTTGATTGGGCCCCAGTTTTGCTCACTATCAACAGCACTCCAATATTTTCTTTCTCCATAACTCTTGCTCTTCCTCGAGTGACGTTTGCTTTTCCACTGTCTTTCTTGCCACACATGAAAAGAGCATTAGAGAATCTGAAAATGCAGGCCTATTTTAAGACCAAGCATCTATACTTGCTGATTCCTGTTGTAGCAGTTTGAGAGCCAAGTAATTGATTTGATTTCAAATCATCACACTCCCTTTGAGTCACTGCAAAGCAAAAGCACAAAAATAAAACACAGGAAGGTAAAAGAAAATAATTTTCTTTTTTCTTGATCTTAATTTCTCTAAAATGAAGCTGTCAGTCTAAGCAAAAGAGTAGCAATGTAGGGTGATGACACACATAAAAGTAAATGTATCAACATAATAACACAAAATATGAAATAAATAATTTGAAATAAATAAATTGTGGTAAATCCCTTAATGCATACATGAACAAATCAGAAAAGATAGAAAAATCTAAGAACAGATGAAAAAATATGAAATAGCCCACAAAATAATACAGAAACATATAAATAATCTAATTAAATATGAATGACCAAAACTCAGGAATTAAAAGGTAGGATAAATAAGCAAGATCCAATATATACTGTCTACAAGAAATTCATTTTTTTGTTTATCTGCTTTGTTCCCCAAGAAAAGATGGACAAAGAAATTCATTTTAAATATAAGCCATATGTTAAAAGTAAAAATATGTGAAAATATGTGACTCAAATACTAAAGAAAAGAAAGGGGCATAGCACTATTATCAGATAAAGTAGACATGAGCACAAAAGTATTATCAAGGATATAGAAGGATATGAAGGTGAATGTGTCAATTTTGTCTTTGATGGTTGTGTCAATCAGCTTTTCTATCCCTTTCAAAATTCTTGACATCCAGGGCCGAGGATTTAGCTCAGCAGTTCGGTGGCCTGCCTCGCAAGTGCAAGGACCCAAGTTCAATCCCCGGTACAAAAAAAAATAAATAAATAAATAAAAATCCTGACATCCATATCTTAAAGGAGGAGTTTATTTTGGCTCATGTTTTAGAGAGCCATGGCAGTGTCTCCAAGAGAGAAATGGCCTGGTTGAAGGGACTAGAGAACAAAGACTGCTCACCCCATAGCAGCCAGAAAACAAAAAGAGAAAGGAAGACCCAGAGAAAAGAATACATCTTTCCAGCCTCCTGCTTGGGCTGGTAACTGGAGTCACACCAGAGGGGCACAAGGGGTCACAAGGACCATTGTTCTGAGCTCCAGCCTTGATTTTCATTTAATACACATGGTTAGAGGTGACAGATTAATAACTACAACAAATTGTCATTCTCTAAGCTGTGCTTGATGCTGTTGTGTTGCTGACTGTATTACTTGGGCTAAGGTATTGTGATTGATTTAACTAGTTGTCCTTCCTAGTACAATGAAAAGGAGATTACCTCAGAGTTATTAGAGACTCAAAACCTAAAAACAAGCAATAACAGCAAGACTGACGTATTAACCAAGGAATGAAACCAAGGACAGTACCAACAACAAAAATAGAAATGAGAGGGCCAGAGATTTAGCTCAGCAGTTCTGGGGCTTGCCTTGCAAGTGCAAGAACCCAAGTTCAATTCCTGGTACTAAAAGAAGAAAAAAAAAGAAAGAAAAAAGAAATGAGAAGACATTCAAGCAAGGCACAAGCACAAAAACAGTCTGCCTGTTCATC